GCGAGCTAGGCTCGGCTCGGCTTAATGCCTTTCCACCATATCAGTTCCCTGCTTCAAGACTTGCCAGAAATGTATCTTGACGAGATCGTGGATTGGATTGCAAGAGATGAAATGGCAAGGGAGGAATGGATGCACACCGTCCAGACGACATTCCTGTCTTCAATGATGGTGACTGTCGACGAGTCTAGCAAGGATGGCAGAACTATCTTTACTCGCTTCGGCCGCTTATTGCAGACAGGGGGGGCATCAAAGATCGATCATGTCTATGCGTACAAAATATTTTTTTCGTGAGTCTCAAGGTTTTCGGGAACCGCTGTAATACAAGTCTCTTGACTACTCCCGCATAGTGCCCACACTAAGCTCTCACTCACACAGGTGAGCTGCTAGACGCTCTCCTCAGTGCTCAACAATCAGACCCGCAAAAGCATTCCCCAGCTGATAAATGTCAAGCTTGAACGGATCGTACGGCACGTCCTCGTCGGCGAATTCGGGAACCCTCTTGTCCTGCCCACAACGTCCAGTGGTGGTTTCGCCCGGGGCATAGAAACTCGATAGTCCGAAATCGATGAAATAGCACCTGTTGGGATAGCATCGGTAACGCGGCTGCCATCGCCAGTGGTCGCGTTTGCTGGTGTATCCGTGAGACGTGTACTGCTCTGTCAAGTGGTAGCCACCAGGAATGATCTGAGTCGTGTCGACCATCATATTACCGGCATAAGCACCCCTGACAGACAAGGTCAAGATGTAGTCCCAGAATCACAATACGCTGGTGCGCAAAGTTGTGAGAATGATGGAATACGAGGCCCTGATCAAGCGACATCTCAGTGACACAGCGTGCATAGACCATTTCATATGATAACAAGTCCCTATTCAGTAAGCAATCCCCCACTTTCTAGGCTCGTGCTCCCAAGCGGCAGCTGGGAATTCGTTACAGATGCTTAGATTCACTGCCACGAGCGGTATTGCCTTATGCGACCACGACGCGAATCATCACGTTTCACATCCCCGGGATTTCTAGTGTTGTTGAATTAGAATATACAGTGATTAAAACAGTTTGTAAGTACTCAATCTAACAGAACAGAGAATCTCTGCAACATGCCGACACTTGATAGATATTCTCGGCGTGAGACTTGATTTGTTTCATCCAATCGATATTTGACGAGATCTGTCGCACAGTCGAAGCTGGCCTGATCAAGTGCGGCTCTCAATAGCTTCTCGGCGCGCTCATCCCCTCCCACAGCCCTTAAATCGGGCCAGATATTAGAAGCAATGTGATGCGTCGCGACGGTGCGAAGGAATCCGTGCAACTGGCCCTTGACCAAAGCACGAAGATAAGCACCGAGTATCTGCGGATCCGTCTCAGTCGGAGACAGGAACTCTGCGACATCTCTGCACAGCATATCTTGAGGCTCGGTTCTAATTGTGCGCAGGACATGCCCGAAATCGTTCCAAAGGTGCTTTCGATAGTCGATTGGATATCGCATGGAGGTCGGGACCAGTAGCAGGCGAGCGAAAGTCGCATGGGAGAATGAGATCGCGTCGTATAGGGCTACGAAGTCGGTATAATACTGGTAGAAGGGCGAGGCGTTGCCCAGAAAGATCGTGGAGACATCCTCCAGGTTGTCCTCCGAGGGCGGTGCAGCTTGTGACAAGATATCATCCATCAGCTGACTCACTTCACGATCCCGGAAAACCTCCTCATCCGAATCCGTATGCGGTTGCTCGTGCTCAAGCATGAACACTTTCATACAGCCAAACACAACCTCTTCCCGCGAAGGCACGAAATCGGCGAAGGAGAAGCGGGTGACGAGTTCACGCGTGATCTTGGCTAGCAACAGCGTCGCACGGGTCACTTCAGTCTCGGTCGCGTCCCAAGCGGCTGGGAGAGATCGGAACACGGGTGAGGTTCCGGACCGCAGCAAATGATCCAGTGGCGAAAGCGCCCAGGCACGAGACAGGGGAAGACCCCGTCCTCGAGAATAGGTAGGCAACCGTTGGGTTGTCGAGACTTTGATCGATGCAGGACTCGCGTTCAAAGGTCCGATCTGCACTCCCGATCTTGGCTGCACGGTATTCTCGATGAACGGCTGCAGGATACGGAAGCCACCCTTCTCCCAGAACGAAGGGGGGATTTTAATGCCTCTGGAATTGGCCCATTCAGGAGTGATCGAACCTAACACATCTTTGAGCAAATCTAATGCAAAGAGTTCGTCGCCCGGGAGTGTCCGAGACAGTATTGATAGAGCCTGTGCGGTCCATGCATCTTGCGAGACGCGCTGCAGCCGCTTCGACAGATCCAGATATGCGCAGAGAAGACTAGAAAGAGGTCGCAGGAGAAAATAGCACCGCCCGGAGGACTGCTTCCAAACTGGGTGGACTACGAGTTTGCCACAGAGCTCGGAGATCCTATCGATCGGGAGTGTGAACGAGGTGTCTGGGAATGTCAACCACAGCCGTATAGCGGCAGAGAGAACTTGAGAGGAGGTACCCAGAGTCTCGGGGTTGTCCGCGGTCTCGAGCGTCCTCAGCGCAGCTTCGACAACGTCCCGTTCCTTCCCACTCTCGAATCCGTGCCCGAGTGCACCCAAACATTCAGCGCGCTCGTTCTCGCCGCTTCGAACTCCGTTGACTCGCGCCCCTTCCAGCCACGCAGCCAGTGCATTCCACATCGAAGTCCAAGCGAGCGCGTCCTCAGTCGTCACGTGGTCGCGCAGGGCAAGGAGGTCAGCGCCCCAGCCCCATGCTTCAATCTGGCTCCAGAGGATTTCATGCTCGGGCGTGGTCTGATGCGGATCTGTCGCGCAGACGAGCCAGGTCTCGAGCAAAGAAGCCCAAGCTTGCTGCAACGACGCACCGGCGCTGGGAACGTAGGCGGCGAGAGCGGCGAATTGCAGATGAGCGGTGCTGGCGATGGAAGAATACAGCCCATATGTTGCAAGAGTCCGGTAAAAGACCAGGGTACTCGTCAAAAGCGTCGCCTCTGCGGGCGGTAGCGTCGCGGCGAAGCGAAGAAGCGCATCAGAAGGGCCAAGAAGGGCTTGTGCATTGGCACGGCTCGACGCAGCGAGAATGACGATTAGATTGATTGCCGATTGAGCATTAGGAAGCGTGGTCCGGGACCCTGCTAGAAGGAAGGCGCGGAAGACCACCACGATCAGCGAGGGGGTGGAGATGATTTCCGTGGCAATCTCGTTCGTTTGGTGAGAGAGGTGGGTCAGCACGACGAGTAGATGAGCAAGAGAAGCATCTGAGGACGAATCCGAGCCTTCTGCTTGGGTTGAAAGTGCCCCCACAATCTGTTGAAGTAGATGCGGTCGAGGCAACAGCGCATCTTCCCCGCCGAATTCGACTAATGTCGAATCGAAATCCATCGGAGACCACCCAACGACGCATTCTCTGACGACCTCGATGGCATGTGTACCAAGACTGCCTCGCTCAGACATAGCTTCAATCCCACTCGCAATCACCCGTTGCTTAATTTCCGGGATCTGCGATGGCAAGAATGAGTCCAATGGTAGGTCCGCGTCTCCGCGATGAACAGTGCCGATCCACCGTGCGACGCCGACCAGCATCCTCATTCCCGCCGCGCGCTGCGCTTTCACACTCGATCGAGACATGACGAAGACGTCCTCGAGGGTGTATCCAGCGCGTTGCATGCCGTCGGCGTCGGGCGCGTGGTGGTGCAGACCGAGGTGGGTGGGCAGGGATGAGTGCAGGCCGGTCTCCAGGACGTTTCCAGACAAGTCGAAGCGAAGAGGATCGGGTGGTGAAGAGCTACCCAGACTGGTCACTGGCGCGCTATCCTGCATCCACTCCAGATCTGGATGATTCGGAGTCGTGGATGGGAAGAATCGTTGTCGTATGTCCTCCGGGGTTCCTTCCTCGGGGTCCTTCTTCAGAGACCCTTTCCATTCTCCCAGAGACACGACATCGTCGGAACCGTCCGGCGGGGGCAGCGCTAATGCTTTATGTTTGGGTGATGAAGGCGCGGATTCGTACACGTGCACGTCGTCTGCGGTGACCTCCGCAAACCGTATCTTTTTCGATGCGCGGCTTTCCGGACGGGAGCCCCCGGGTGAGGCAGGAGAAAGAGCAGATTCTAGTACGTTGCGGTCAAAACGATGATCTACATACGGCAGCAGAAGCCTACTCGTAGAGGTTTTCGCCCTCGCTGCTTTGGCCTTTTTCAGGATGTCCCCGATATGAGGTCCGAATTTACTCAATATCTCCCGTCTCTCCTCTTCTCGTTCCTCTTCTGTCATGCTCTCGACCTTCCTCTCGTTCTCCAGGCTCATCTGTGTCCTCCAATCATCTGCATCTCTCGCAAGGTCCCGATCAAACGTAGGTGGTGATGGGGTCCTAGCAGAAGCAGACGGCCGAGCGAATTTGGAGGTCGAAGCGAAGACAGTTGGCGGTCCGCGATCTTTAGGTAGGGTACCCGAAGAGGCAGAGTTCTTGGCCTCTCTCGCACGCACAAAAGCGCTCTTCTTGGTGCGATGAGCTGCTTCGGGGAACCCTTTGTTTGTCCCAGGCGCGATCGGCGGCGACGGTTTGGAGACAGAGGTGCGTTCAAACACGGAACCGACGAGATGCGGTGAATCCATATGGTCGCACCGCTGAGGAAACCAGCTGAATCAGGCCTGAACAAAAGAGGTTATCTGTGACCGTGACTTGAAGGCAAATCAACGGCATCAATATCACGCCGGTTCGAACCACACCATGTCCACCAAAAAAACGGCTCTCCGTAGACCGTGGATGACTTCATGCCTGCCGCTCAACTCAGATCCTGCACTTTCCTGATCTCATGAGGAAATAAGCTACGAAAGACCGGACACTATGTGGGTAGCTGGAGAAGATCCCATCTCGTCGCACTGGAACCCATCTCGGACCATGTCGTGCTCGTGGCTAGCGAAAAGATCACCGTGCTGGTGTTTTACGTTGAATAGACTGCGCATAATTTCCTAGAGACGTAGCCGCTGGACGGATTCAGGAAAACGTCAAAGTTGCATTGAAGAAATTCTGGACTTCGTCCTCAAGATCCTCCATGTTTAATATCGCAGTTATTTCAGGTTCACCCGGAATTCTAACATCTTCTTTGTCAATAAACTCGATCTTTTACTCACGCTATACAATAGCTTATTCGATTTGAGCGCCACGCCTTTCCTGCGGGGATTTGGCACACTGGCCTTTCACTACATTAACGAAGTGATCGAGGCCATATCGCGATTCCTAAAGGTGCCATTCAAATCATTGGAAATCATATCAAATGACCAATGCTAGGCAGGAACACCTTTGATATGATTTGTTCAAGGACGACATTGACCGGCGAGGTAACCTTTTCCGACCCTCACTTCAATGTGATGCTTTGTCCTATGAGACCTTGTTGAGATCTGAAATCAGATGCTTTTGTTAATAGACACCCAAACCATGGTCTCCATTTCGGATACCTTTCGGCAACGATGACTCCCTGCAATCTCGGCAATGGCACCCGTATAAATTTGAGTTTCGCCGCTTCGAGTCAGGAAATGTGCCTACCACATGCCAGCGGACCATCCCATAAAGCTTTTGGCTCCGACACAGAGGGAACTCACCCACGCCGAGTCAGTCATGCGAATTCTCGTTTTGTGTGATGTTCATTTATAGATGTGGGGGTGTGTTCGACCTTCTCTGAACCCGCATTCACACAGACAGAGCAAAAGCTGCGCAATACATGACTCGAGCGATCTCTAGTGCGATGGAAGCGCGGCTGTGAGTCCCCCGCGGGAGCAGAAGGGTCTTCGTGCTTCTTTTCATGTGGAATGAAACATGTTATCTCCTGGGGACCGTAGATTCCCGAGTGTAGGTGCCAGCCTGTGCCAGCGCGTGACGGTACCGGCGGAACAACACTCTTCTTCTCGATTAGGAAGGTGACGGTGACTCACTGATGGACAGACACGAATTGTCCGTTGTCTGGATGCGTCTGGGATTCGGATCAACAGGACAGACCAGTGCTTGGCAAATTTTCTCGACATCTGGATCAGATCCGTACGTTTCCGTGTAATCATGTATTCAATTCCAATCGTGTATTCATTTCAAGCGGTGAGAACAACAAGTGATGGTACAGCGAGAGAGAGGAGTGATTCCTCCAACGGCGAGCGCGCATCGTTTATCGTTCGCATCGTCCAAACCGCCGCGCTATTCAGCGCGATTCGTTCCAGTTGTGACGTTGGCTGGAGGAGCCGTACCCACCGCTCGAGCGCGAATCGGTGCTCCGACGGGATTGAAGCGATGTGCTGCGCGCAGCTGATGAATGGAGACTGTCGGAAACGATACCCCGGCTCGCGTCCGGTCTCGCCGAACCTGCGATCCGTGAAGTGGGACGGCGTAAGGCGATGCCCTACTGATCTCCCAGCCCCGTACTGGTCCTGCGCAGAGCCGGATCTGAGTGTTGAGGGCGTCAGTTATAGATCGGAACGGACAGAGAGACAACGCACGGAGCGGAGTTGGACGCTGAGGGGTGATGGTGATGGGGTGGGGAGGGCAGAGACGGATGAGGCTGCTCGGGAGCGTGATTGTACACTCAATCAGAGATCGGGACAGGAGCGCCAGGGTGAATACCGGAGGTAGCGCGGTAAAACACAGAAGCTGAGCTGCGATCCACAATTCGCTGGCCAAGGAGGTTCTGGCATTGGCGCGCTGGTGCGGGTCGCGCGTTGAGCGCAAACCGTGACAGAAAGCGATGTGGCGGCAGCTTGCGAGCGCTTTCCTTGGCTTCATCGGAAAGTTTCTGAGCCCATGCATCAGTCTGCGTGGCTCATAGCTCTATGAGGGTACCTCGAAGGATGCTTGAAATTCCTTCGTTAGGCGGTTGTCCTGGAGGGTGGAAATGTAGCTGGCCGTCCGACGATTTTCGATGTGGCTTCTGTGACTGAAATGATGTCAGAGCTTCATTATGCCTGAGGGAACGCCCACACTTGCTGGCTGCGGGACCGAGCATGTCCCGGACATCCTGACTTGCATCGCTCGTGACATTGGCCTGCAATTGCCTCGCCTTCTCGAGGTTCGACGAGCGGCCATCCTCAGGGGTGAGAGACGATAGGCGGCGTTGGATTGTTCTACCCATCCCGCGTTTGGCTTCGTCGTGCGGAGGGGTAGATTTGGGGTCGTACATGCTGGACGGGTGGAAAGGTGGATTCCATCGGTGGAGAGGGAAGCGCTACAACGAATCAAAGATCTCAAGGAGCGCTGCACTGAGGCGGACAAGAGCAAAGCGGTTGCGGATCTGGGTACATGAATCTACTTGGGTGTCACAGTCACAAGCACGGCCACGGAACCTTTTTGTGCAGCACTTTTGCCATGACACAACTCTCTGAAGCGCGCAAGATAACTGACAGGTGCGTTTGCCAAAGGGGTACCAATTCTCCGCTAAATAATTGGGGTGCCAATAAGTGTATACTATCCCAGCAAACGCTTCTGGGTCAAATACCAGCCGTTCCTGCTCTCACACGGCTGCAACTTGCGTCCACGATACCATCAGAATTGGAACCCTTCCTGGATCGCTGCAGGAGAAGATATTGACTCGGGCAAGTTTAATCCTTACAAATACAAGGACGCATCTGCGGGCATCGTGAGTATCCTTAGGCGACTCGATTCAAGATCATTTCACGTCTGAATCCAAGGTCCTCTTCAATGTCATGGATGCTACTCGCGTCGAAGACAACGTTAAGGTCGTTCTGAAAAAAGCCGAAATCTGGAAAATCGAGATCGGATTCGCACAAGACTTCAATTCCCCGCGTCTACGTCAAGACCCGACAACATCACATTTCTTCTTCTGGACGTGATTCCAATGCCGGCTGATGACGATTTCGCTTTCCTCGTCATGCCTTATCTGCGACAATTCGACCCCCAGACTTCCGTCACGTGGACAAAGTCATCGAAGCCATGTCGCAATTCTTGAAGGTAGGCGATGAGACGGTTTGGAAGGCCCCGTCACTGACATACCCGCTTCTTCAGGGCTTGGTTTTCTATCACTCTCACAACTTTTCCTACCAGTACGTTCTACATATCCGATTCCTGGGCCTCGTTTCTACCGTGTTTGACAGGGATGCTTGCTCCGGTAATATGATGATTGACACGACCCACATCATTCCCGGTGGCTATCACTTCTCCAGGAAGGACAAGTCTCGCGGAGTCTACATCAGCAAACACGACCACTGGCGATGGAAATCGCGACGCCGCTGTTATCCCAATAGGTACTATTTTCTCTGCTGGACCTGAACATGCGGCAACTGAAGGACGTTGCGGGCAGGACAAGACTGTTCCGGAATTCGCAGAAGCAGATGTTCCGTATAATCCGTTCAAACTCGACATCTATCAGCTGGGCAATGTATTTGCGGGTCTGATAAAAGTGCGTGAAATGTGTTACACAGGTCTTCACCGTCGTTTAATGTCTCCGAAGAAATATCCTCGCCTGCGACGACATTTTGAACCGCTATCGACCGCGATGACACGCAAAGATTTTCGCGAGCGACCAACGGCGCCGGAGGCATTAGTGCTTTTCGAGTCGATGGTTGCTCACATGTCGCCTAAACAGTCGACAGCGCGGCTGCGCCTCTGCGCCTAAAAAAACGATGGCCATTGGAATCGGAAATCAGTGAGGAAGAAGATGCGAGCTTTGTATTGCCCGATGATCTCGGGTTTGCACACTCACTCAGATCGAAACCGAGTCTGAGGTCGCTCTTGGGAGAAAAGATCACCTCTTCGAAAACGAGCCATTGAACTACTTTTTTTGTCAGGTCCCGGCCGCTTAGGCATGCTAGTATCCAGCAGGAGATTAGAATCATTCTTGGACCATCCATAGTGTGGCTTTCTACGATTCCCCGATGAACCGCAGGTGCGTGGCCCCGGATAAGTTGGCACATGATCTCAAGCCAACATGCATCGACCAAAAGCTTGATATGTACCGACATCGATCAGTGAAAATTGATTACGTGGACGCGCCGGTTTCAACCAGTTGCGGTGTCAAGGTCGCCGTTGTGTGTCAGTATCCATTACAAACGACTGGGATCTTCAAGTGGAAGCCCTTGCAATGACCGATATCCCTGCGGAGTCGGACTCTGGATCCTCTACTTCGCCACAGATTGTGACGCGTGGTTCTTGCCGGCGGCCGTATGTTCAAACACCATAAAAGCAACCATCCAGCTGCTTCATACAAACAAGCTCTGAAATTTCTCTCACCTTCAGTCCAACATCGATGGTTCAACAGTCAGCCAATCTTGCCGGCGTCTCTGTCGCTCGTATCGGGGTGCGCATCAGACTCTCGACGCGTGTTTCGATACCGGATGCTGACGATCCATTCCCAGCATGGCCTGCTGCTCATGACGTGTGCCGCCTTCTTCCATTGACAGCTAAGCAGCCCTCCCTGACCCCATCCCAGCTGGGTGCCCAACCCAGTTCCCGATGAGCAATGCTTCGAGGCCATCAAGGCCGGAATCGATGCGCTTCCCGCCGGAACCAAAGCGTTTCTGAATTCTGGTGCATCGCGTTGCGGTCGTTTATTGATATGCAGCTCAACAATGACAGGCTCCTTCTACGATCAGGATCTTGGTACCGGAAACCTCGAGCTGTTGTCCCGCTTCTTCGTAAAGTATCCTGATTACGCTGACAAGACCTTCCTCTCGGTCAAGGGCGCCGCTGGAAAGCAAGGCCCCAACTGCTCGTGAGCGTTTATATCGGCTTCAAAGAGTCTGATCAGTGACAATTTTTGCAGAGAGGAAAATTTGCGGGCCGAGATGGACAAGATTGCGCGTGCACTTGGGCCCATCAAGAAGATGGATCTCTTTCAACCCGCTCGCGTTGACACCCATCATCCGATCGAAGAGACCATGAGGATCTTGGCCACGCTCGTTAAGGAGGGCCACTTCTCGCACATCGGGATCTCGGAGTGCAACGCAGACACTCTGCGCAAGGCCCATGCGGTATGTGGTACTAATTACTGTGTGCATATATCCTCATTTTTCGTAGGTTCACCCCATTGCAGCAGTCGAGATTGAGATCAGCCCCTTCTCGTACGACCATAATCAGAAGAAAGTTCTCGCTGCTGCCACCGAACTTGGCGTTTCCGTTATTGCCTACTCGTGAGCGGGTCTGCTGCATCTCATTTCTTTTGGGCTCGCCAACACCACCAGGCCTCTCGGACATGGCCTGATTTCCGGAAAGTACAAGTCTGGTGCAGATCTTGATGGTATGCTCAGCTGCGCTGCTCGGAGCTGACTGACCTCATCACCTGTTCAGCTGGCGACCTGCGCCAGAGCTTCACTCGATTCAAAGACGAAGTGATTCTGAAGCACAATGCAGAGATCATCGAACAGCTCAATCAAGTGGCAGAGAAGCGCGGGGTCACAACTGCTCAAATTTCAATTGCCTGGGTTGCAGCCCTGGGCCCGAATGTCATCCCCCTTCCTGGGTCATCGTAAGTCATAAGAAGAACATCTGATATGCTCAGATCAACTGATACTCTCCTCAGGAAAGTGTCTCGCACATTGGAGAATCTCTCAGCTGGCGATATCATCTTGACTGAAGAGGAGCTGAAGCAAGTGGATGAGATTCTTGCAAAGGGTGTGTTGGGTGATCGGTACTGGGGAGAATCGGATAAGCGGGCACACCTCTGGGGTTGATCTTCTTGCCATTGGTATAGCATTTTCTATATTGATTTGTTCCACACTGTTCCACCAGTAATAATGCTTGCCACCACCATCTCAGACAGGTTCAAATTACGTGGCAAGGCTACCAATGATACACAGTCATCTACAGAAAATGCATGACTCAATCAGAGTTGGATTAATAGAGATAAACCCCCCTGAGCCCCTAACCCGGACTGTGTGATGCTGTGATCCATGATAAGATAATGTGTGTCAAGATAAGATAAGATCGTTGATGATAAGATGAAAAAGTGGTCAAACTATGACATTACCCCCTCTCTAGGGTCAATGTCCTCATCGACTGAGCCAATGGGTGTGAAGACCTTGTTGTAAGAGTCAAAGAGTTCTTGTTGAGGATAGAGAAGCTGCTTGTCTTTGGGTTTGTAGCAATGGATAAGGTGTTAAAGCTTGTTTGTATTAGCAACTATCACTGTCATAATTCAGCCCTTTTTCATCTTATCATCAACCATCTTATCTTATCTCAGCACGGATTATCTTATCATGGATCACGGCATCAGACGGTCCGGGCTAGGGGTTCCAGGGGTTATCTCTATCGATTCGAGGCTGCGCGACATATGCTCCGGAAGATTCTACTACAACCCATGACCAGTGCTCCATGTGGTACATAGCCCTATGACTCATTAGTTGTAGATATGACTCAGACTGGATTTGGGTATAAATACTGTAGCTATTTGGTTTGTATTCTCCAGTCTTCGAATTCACTTCTCTTTTTGACTATTGTTTTCGGTTGACAATAGGGTCACAATGCTTGAAGAGATTGAGAACGGGGACAAGGACAACGAGTTCCTCAAGGAGATCGCCGAGAAGCTGCGCGAGAAGGGTTTTTGAAACGCTCCACTCCTCTAGCCAAGGAGGTGGAGCGTCCGGACTATGGACAATTTTCTGTACTTGTTTCAATTAAAGATATGAACAATCCTTCACATACATACACAATCTCAGACTCCCTACATACCAATATTCACAATTTTCTCGTTGCTGATATGGAAAAAGAACGTCAAAGAAAAATAGCTTTAAATAGAGAGTATTTACAGAATAAAAAGGATCAGAAGACTGCAGATAAATTATTGGACTCCTATGTATTTATGGCTCATGGAGAAGAAACCACATCAACAAAGACTGAAAAGGGGAGCATCGCTCCTGAGGCTCAATCCTTGAAAGAGGAGGAAGCGCCTAAGGAATCTGCCAAAATCAAGGTTCCAGAAGCACCCAAACGCACCAGGGTGCCAGATGCCGTCCAGAGGAAATTGGCGGCCGAGAAGCAGAAGGGCCCCCAGCCTAGCAGATTGGCGCAGGAATTGCACAACTACCAGGCCAAGAGGAAGAGGCATTCGATGGACGTGTATGTCCAGATCACGGGCCTGGACTCGGGAAAGACATGCGGAGAAAAGGTGCTGCTTGATAGTGGCTGCAGTACCTGCTGCATTGATACCGACTATGCGTGGGCAGAGAAGTTGGATATCCAGGAACTCCCGCAGCCCATTGTAGCTCGCAATGCCGACAACACCAAAAACATCAACAGTCGGATCACGCATTACGTCGACCTGAGGATGAGAATCGGCCCTCATGTGGAGACATGCACGTTCCTTCTGACATGCCTGGGAAAAGCTCGGATCTTCATTGGCCTTGATTGGCTGACGGAACACAACCCCAAGGTGGATTGGCAGGAGCAAACAATGAAATTCAGCCAATGCCCAGAGCAGTGTCACATGAGGGGTCATGAGGAGCACCAGGCAATGATCGACATGGATGCAATTGACCTGGACACAGGTGTACCGGATCTGGAAGAGGGGGAATTGATCTTGTTGGTCGACTTTGGGAAGGAAGTGGATCTACGGCTGAAGGAAACGCCGGCACAGAAGTTTGCAGAAGAAGCGGAAAAGGAGAAGGAGAGGATGACCAAGGGGAAGATTCCGGATCAATACCGGGAATTTGTCGAAGTATTCGCCAAGGAATTGTTTGACTTGCTACCAGACCAACGGGCATGGGATCATGCAATCAAGCTGAAACCCGGTTCCAAAGCAGTGGACTGCAAGGTGTACCCATTATCACAAAACGAGCAGGTCAAACTCGACAAATTCTTACAAGAGAATCTGGCCAGCGGACAGATCAGGCCATCAAAATCACCCATGGCATCAGCATTCTTCTTTGTCAAGAAGAAAGATGGGTTGCTGCGCCCCGTCCAAGATTATCGGAAATTGAACAAGATGACGATCCGAAATTGATACCCGCTGCCGCTGATCTCCGAACTAGTCCATAATCTATGCGGCGCAAAGCTCTTCACCAAGCCTGACATCCGGTGGGGATACAACAATGTACGGATCAAAGAGGGCGACAAGTGGAAGGCCGCGTTCCACACAAACCGCGGACTGTACGAGCCCTTGGTTATGTTCTTCGGTCTCACCAATTTGCCAGCAACGTTCCAGAACATGATGAATGACATACTACGGGAACTGATCAATGAGGGCCACATGGTAGTTTACCTGGATGACATACTGATCTTCACAGATAACCTGGCTGAACACTGGCGGATCACAAAGCGGGTACTCCAACTACTCCAAAAGCACAAGCTGTACCTGAAGCCCGAAAAGTGCGAGTTCGAACGCACGGAAATTGAGTACCTAGGTGTAATCATTGGACACAACTTGATGCAGATGGACCCTGTCAAGATCAAGGGCGTGATGGAATGGCCGGAACCAAAGAGCATCAAACAAGTCCAAGCGTTTCTAGGGTTCACAAACTTCTATTGGCGCTTTGTCCGGGGATACGCGGAGGTCGCCAAGCCGTTGACACGGCTGACAGGGAAGGCAGGATGGTCATGGGGTACGGATGAGCGTGCAGCATTTGATGGGTTGAAGAAGAGAATTGCGGAGGATGCGGTCTTAGCACTGCCAAACGACACCGGCCAATATCGTCTGGAAGCCGATGCTTCGGAAGGGGCAACAGGATCCGTTTTGAGCCAAAACCAAGACGGAATTTGGCGCCCAATCGCATTTATTTCGCACGCATTGACCGAAACCGAGCGAAATTATGAGATCTACAACAAGGAAATGCTTGCAATCATGCTATCATTGGACGCATGGAGGCAGTTACTCCTGGGAGCCACGGAAACGTTCGAGATCTTCACCAATCATCAGAATCTCGAGTACTTTTGGAAGCCGCAGAAGCTCAATCGACGGCAAGCACGATGGATCACAGAGTTGGCGGAGTTTGATTTCACCTTACGACACCGGCCCGGCGCACTCAACCGCAAGGCGGATCTCTTATCTCGACGAGCGGATCACAATCAGGGCAAGAACGACAACAAGGACGTCACGCTACTGAAGCCCGAGTTCTTCCGATCACAAGAAGTCACATTCGAAGGACAGGATCAGCAGCTGAATGATGAGATCAAGACTACTCAGTCAATTGATGGAAGCGTCAAAGCAGCCCTGGAGAAGTCACTCGTCAGGTGGAAAAAGGAAGATGGGCTCATCACGTACCATGGGAAGCTCTACGTTCCAAGGGACGAGGAGCTACGGGACAAGATCATCAGGCTACACCACAACACGCCTTTGGCTGGACATGCCGGGATCAACCGAATGCAGGAGATGGTGGAAAGGAACTACTGGTGGCCAAGGATGGGAAACCAAATCCAGAAATACATCCAGACGTGCGAGGCGTACCAACAAACTAAGACCAGAAGAGCAAGGACGGGGACTCTGCATCCGCATGCAATCCCAAATGCACTGTGGGAAATCATCTCAATGGATCAAATTGGACCCTTGCCGGTCAGTAACGGGTATGACGCCATTCATGTATGGTGTGACACCTTCACCAAAATGATCCATGTCAAACCCATTAGTACTGACATCAGCAGCGAAGGAGTAGCACAGTTGACAAGAGACCGAGTCTTCCACTATCATGGGATCCCTCGCAAGATCATCACCAACAGGGACTCACGATACATCAAGGGCTTCATGAAGGAGACAAATCGGATGTTGGGCATGGAAATGAATCTGGGGACTGCATATCACCCAATCACAGATGGGCAAACAGAACGCATGAATCAGGAGATTGAGCATTATCTCCGCATCTATGTCAATTACCATCAGACAGATTGGTCGGAGTGGCTGGGAATGGCAGAGTTCGCATATAACGACAAGATGGACACGTCTACCAAAATGTCGCCATTCTATGCTAATCACGGATATCACCCATGGAAGGGAGTGGAGCAACGGATGGAATCAAGAAACGAGTCGGCAGAGGAGTTTGTAAAAAGAATCAAAGAAATACAAGACAAAGCAAAAGCAGCATTGGAAAAAGCAAATGAAAAATGAAAAAATACTACAATAAACAAAGAAAAGAAGTTCCGGAGTTGAAGGTTGGGATGAAGGTGTACATAGAAGGGGAAAATATCGAGACGGATAGACCATCAAAGAAGATGAGCGACAAGAGATTGGGGCCATACGAGATACTGGAGAAGGTTGGAGCGGCTGCATGGAAGCTGGATTTGCCAGACACGGACCGAAGGCACCCGGTGACGTGCCTGCGGACGGAATAGGCGCGAGCTAACACAAAATGGGGGTCAGCTACGACCTAAAACAGTGCAGGAATAAGTGTGATGTGCGAGGAGGTCCACAAGATTCAGTGCCGTGGCAGGCAGTAAGAAATGATGATTTTAGACGTGGGACGAAGTCGAGGGCGGCGTGGGACGGATGCGACGAAGCAGAGGGTCGAAATACCCAAGTAGAAACGAGCTGAAGACGAGAACTGAACTCAAGACTATGAGGAGAATAAATCTATTTTTCTTTTGTCCAACTACAAGCTTTTGTATGTGAGACAATGAAATAATCATCAGAGTGGGTGAAATATCGACAGGATGGAGCAAGGGACGGTGAACAGAGGAACCAGGGAAGTGAGAGGGGAAAAACAGGTACAAGTGGATGGTGAAGTAAGAAAGGCAGGGGTGTAGAGATAAATGTGCAGACAGCAGTCCAGGGATGTGAATATCAAAAATATATGCAGGGCTGGACGAACCAGTGAATAGCCAGGGCTGAGGAATATTGAGGAGACCCTCAGTTGTGTGCGAAGCGTGCGCCCACTGATTGCTGATTGACATGCACTGCCACACGTCAGGACTTGTCGGATAGATAGGCCAGTCCGTCATCTCCTCCTGACTGAAAAAATGACCGTCCTCGGTCATAGAATAGCGGACAAGTGTCTTGAGGAATAGAAATGTGAAGATAAAGGCTCAGTAGATCATCATAGCCTTAGCTCCTCGGAGCTGCGCAAGACAATGATGAATCAAAGGATGCGACTTGGGGGGAAAGGAATGGGCAGCAAAGTCGAAAGGAGAGGGTGCTCAGCTGTGCAGGTGCATCCTCCTGACTGAAACGCGTTCTCTAACTCTTCTACAACTCTTCACAGCTCTCCTCCTCTTCCTGATCTGTTTCTGGGTCCACCAATGTTGACTGCTCGAGCTCGCGCAGTTTCTCGGTTGAGATATCGAGGAAATCGTCCAGGGGAGGGAGGGGGATCGTTGTGCGTGCAAAATAAGGTATAACACGAAAAGCGGCGATGGGACGATGGAAAACTGAGCCGTCTAGCTCACACAGGATGTAGGCGCCTCCCTTGTTGCGCGAAATGACGACTAATGGGCCCAAATAGTGTTTGCGCATCTTCATATTGAGGGACTTCTCGATGGCCGTGTTCCTCATCAAAACCAGGTCGCCCTGCTTGAAGTTGAAGTCGCAGATCGTGGCGGCGTGCTCGATCTCGAAGCGTGCAGCGTCACGCAGTCGTGCTTGATAAACTCGAGAGTGTAGGGCTTCTAGATTGCTTCGGCGTTTCTGGAGCGCAATGGCGCGTCGTGCAATGAGATCCGTGGTCGAAAGGACGGTTTCGGGCGGCGGGAGCAGGTATGTGGCTTCTGATAAATCGAGGGGAATTAATGGATGCGTTCCAGTGACCGCAAAATAGGGTGAGCAGCCCATGCGACGACGGACAGTGACACGGTCCGCCCAGAAGACCGAATAAGCAACAGAACTCCAGTTCTTCTGCTCCCCATCTACAGCCTTGAAGAGCGCCTCGCGGATGTCGAAATGTGGATTTTCAATCAGCCCATTTGCGCGTGAGTTGTATCCCGAAATGCGCACATGACGGACGTGATACTTAGCTTCCAGGTACGCCAATGCCTTCACAAACGGTGCACCGTTGTCTGACACGATTTCTGTGAGCGTCCCCCATCTGCAGATCAAGTCCTGGAAGATCCATTTGCCCAGGGTGGTCGCTGTCTCACGGCGCAGCATGCGGAACTCAGGAAAAAGCGAAATCGAGCATCGTCCTTGCACAATGTAGCGGAATCCAGCGCTTGGCGGCATGTGCATAGTGTCCATATGAATTTTCGAAAACAGTGGGGCCGGGACCGCGACGGTAGGGGGGATAAGGAGCTTCTTTGTCTGTCGAATCTGACATAGGTGGCAGGTGCGTAGGTACCAGGTGACGTCGTGTGCAAGGAATGGCCACCAGAATCGTTCCGTGAGTAAAGCCTTCGTTGCGTGGAATCCCTTGTGACCAACGTCGTCGTGGGCAGATCGCAGGATGAATATTCGACGGTGGGAGGGAACGACTAGCTTGTGGCGTCCGTGTGCGTCCTTGCGCCAAAGCTTTCGATTTTTGAGGTAGAATTCCATGCTAAACCGAATAAATGCCTGATATTGCTGTTCAGACATGTCCCGTGGGCGTCGTAGCGTCTCAAGCCATCCCTGAACCAGATCTACACGATGATCGGCGAGTCGAGCTGCTTCTGAGCGAGGTACCTGATCGTAGCTCAGTGTAGGCGGTGTTGTGGACTCGGTGGGTGCAATTTCGGCGGAAAATGAGTGGATCGTGGATTGGCGTCGTGAAACGAAGGGTAAGTCATTGATTATGTGCATAAAACCGTGCACCTCGTCGATCCAGTCATCAAAACCGTCGTCCTCATGCTCTAACTCGTCTCCAGGCTGTGCGGGTCGTCTGGACAATCCATCCGGGCCGTATTTGACGCCAGGGACATGTACTAGCTCGAAATGGAAGGTTAAGATCGCCAGGATCCAGCGGTTGATACTGGCTGAGGGCGAAAGATCGGGGTTCCGTAGCATACCCTTGATGTACCTAGCATCGACTTCAACCAAGCTCTAGCTTGGGCTGTGAAAATCGAGCTTCTCGATCGTTAAGCGTGATTGAGCCAAACCGGGCATAGAAA